TCGGAGTGATCAGAGCCCCAGTATGCATGGAGCAGATCTGTCTATGAAGGCTGCCCATGGCAGCATGGGCTCTGGGGGATGTGAGAAGGCACCAGCAGTGTGTCACAGCATGCATGCCATGCTCAGAACTGTAAGCGGGAACTCTCGGGGTAGCTGGAGAAGGTGCTGAGGATGGAGTGCTGACAAAGTTGCACCAGGAGTGCTTACAGCTGTGTGCATGCTCACATATAGCACAGGTGGGAGCAAAGCAGCCAAGCTGCACAGATTCCCCTCACATTGAACCTGTTTCATGTGCAGTCAGTGGATGAGTGAGTGGGTCTGCACTCACTGCTGCAGCTCCTCCTAGATGAGACTGGAGCTTGTGTGGGCAAGTGTGAGCCTGGGGACTAAATCAGTGCTGCTCTTCAGGGGGAGCTGCTGTCAGTAGAGACAGCTCCTTGATGGGCCTGCCCAGCCTCCTCAGGCACAGCTTGGGGGTGGCAGAGAGAGAAGACAAAAGAACAAGAAGGTGGGCTCCACAGCCCCAGCCATGGGGAGGGCTCACGGGGGTGATGGCAGAGGGGGTGATTTCTCTTTTAGAAATGCACAGTGCTCTTGTAACTTGATTAAATTAAGCCTTGTTCCTGTTGCAGAGAACTCTCCCTGCTGGTAGGTTGTGTGGTAAAGCTCCTCTGCACACCCACAGAGGAGCACGGAGACAATGGCAGGCGGGGACCCCAAGTAACACCCTGCAGAGCTACTCCCAGGCCCCTCAGAGGGGCTGCCAGCCCATCAGAGTCTATCTCCAGGAACCTGGAGGAGCACAGTGACACAAAGGCAGGCAGGAGCCCAAACTAGGGCTCAGGAAGGGCTACCTTCTCCAGGCCCTTCCTGCGAAGCCTCGGCTCCAGGGCTAGGGCATGAAAGCACAAAGTGTTATTTCTGCCTGGGGGCAGGGAATACAGGGGAAGAGCATGTGGACATTGTACAGAACATGGTATATGATGTTTAAGAGAGGAACCAAAGGTGGGGAAAGGGGTGGATCTGAATGATGTGGAGAAGACCAAGAATGGGAAAGTAGAATATGGGGGCAAAAAAGGCTGGTTGCATGTGGACAGGTTGCTGGCCAGAATGCTTGTCTGGCTGTGCTCTATGCCAGTGATCAGCACAGTCTGTCTTATTAAATTCCATTTCTAACTTTGTTTTGGGTGAGGGCTCTCTGTTCTGTGTACACATATGCGTATGGGGTGTGAGTGCAGCAGCCAGGGTCAGATGCAGTGGGGAGGGCTGGTGTGTTGGCAGTGCATCCCCTGGGGCATGTATACCTGTGGAGACGTGTGGAGATGTGGGTGGACCTGGGTGATGGGTGGGGTGGCCCTGAAGCAGGGGCCGATGGTGAGGGTAAGTGTGAGAGCTGTCTCTGGGGGACCAGCTGTGTGTCAGGTGTGTGGGGCCAGCCGTGCATGTATGTATGTGCTGTGCATGCATGTGCTCAGCAGAAATGCATGCTCAGCCTCACTGCTGGCTAGAACAGGGGCATGGGGCTGCAGCAGCCTCACCACCAGCAGATGCTGGATCCAGCCCAGCTCCCTAACACCTGCTTTCTCCTGTCACTTCTCCTCCCGGGTCAGTCAGGCCTTCACCTGTGCCCCTGCCATGGTCAGGGCTCTGAGTGTCCCCAGAGACTTGCAGAGCAGACAAGTCCTGGGACAGTCTGCTCTGTCTTGCTCCAGGCATGGGACTGGGAGCAGGGTGGGGTGAGATGGCTCACCTGACAGAGCAATGTGGGTGTGATGGAGGCCCACTGTATATCTTGTCTGGTCAAAATTACTATTTTCCTAAATCAACAGTCACTGTTTCTCTGGCATAGATTCCTGCCCAGCACTGGTTCCATTCTTCCTGTTATTTATCTCATGCCCCTGGCTAAACTGCCAAACTGGCAACAGACCCAAACCCACAGCACCAGGATGGGCAAAATCCTCCTGCTAATGTCCCAGCAAGGTGTCAGGAGGATGTAGCCAGAAACCAAGCACCTCTTGTCTGCCCTGCAGAGCTCCCAAGGCTCCTGGCTTGGGCCACAGGGCTGAGGGTTTTCCCAGGCCCTTGCCAAAGCTGGGACAAAGCTGGCAGGAGAAGAGCTGCTGGCCACGTCCTCCCGTGGGCTCCTGAGCACCCTGCTCTCCTCCACACACCTGCAGGATCACAGAATCACAGAATCACAGAATTTCTAGGTTGGAAGAGACCTCAAGATCATTGAGTCCAACCTCTAACCTAACACTAACAGTCCCCACTAAACCATATCCCTAAGCTCTACATCTAAACGTCTTTTGAAGACTTCCAGGGATGGTGACTCCACCACCTCCCTGGGCAGCCCGTTCCAGTGCCTAACAACCCTTTCAGTAAAGAAGTTCTTCCTAACATCTAACCTAAAACTCCCCTGGCGTAACTTTAGCCCATTCCCCCTCGTCCTGTCACCAGGCACATGGGAGAACAGGCCAACCCCCACCTCTCTACAGCCTCCTTTAATGTACTTATACAGAGCAATAAGGTCACCCCTGAGCCTCCTCTTCTCTAGGCTGAACAAGCCCAGCTCCTTCAGCCGCTCCTCATAGGACTTGCTCTCCAGGCCCCTCACCAGCTTCGTCACCCTTCTCTGGACCCGCTCAAGCACCTCCATGTCCTTCTTGTAGTGAGGGGCCCAAAACTGAACACAGTACTTGAGGTACGGCCTCACCAGAGCCGAGTACAGGGGGACGATCACCTCCCTAGCCCTGCTGGTCACAGTGTTTCTGATACAAGCCAGGATGCCGTTGGCCTTCTTGGCCACCTGAGCACACTGCTGGCTCATATTCAGTCGACTGTCCACCATCACTCCCAGGTCCTTCTCTGCCTGGCAGCTCTCCAACCATTCCTCTCCCAGCCTGTAGTTCTGCTTGGGGTTATTGCGCCCCAGGTGCAGGACCCGGCACTTGGCCTTGTTGAACTTCATACAGTTGACCTCAGCCCATCGGTGCAGCCTATCCAGATCCTCCTGCAGAGCCTTCCTACCCTCGAGCAGATTGACACACACACCTAGCTTGGTGTCATCTGCAAACTTACTGAGGGTGCACTCAATGCCGTCATCCAGATCATTGATGAAGATGTTAAAGAGGACCGGCCCCAGCACCGAGCCCTGGGGGACGCCACTAGTGACTGGCCTCCAACTGGACTTGGCTCCATTTACCACAACTCTTTGGGCCCGGCTATCCAGCCAGTTTCTAACCCAACGAAGCGTGCGCCAGTCCAAGCCAAAGGCTTCTCAAAGCCAGTCCAAGGCTTCTCCAAGGAGAAGCCTTGCAGGCTCTGGATGCAGTTGTGCAGAGCAGAGGCCTAATATCCAGGCTGCTCATGACAGGGCCCCATGCAAAGGTCCCTTTGCCTCGTCACAGAGCCCACTGCCGGGCCCGCTGCCGCTCATGTCCCTGCTCCGGAGGGGCCCCACTCCGAGGCGTGGAGGGGGAGAGGCCGGGGGATGGGCACCGGGCTGCGCGGCCCGGGGGCTGAGCCCGGCGGCCCGTGGCCAAGGCGTTGGAGCCGGACCGGCCCGGCTCGGCGCCTCAATAGGGTTTCGTCGCGGCCGCCAGAGGGCGCCATGCCCCAGCACTGCCTCGGGTGGCTCGGCCCGGCTCGGCCCCGCCGCCGTCCCCGAGCGCCCCCAGCGGGCCCTCGCGCTGCAGCCGCGGGACGGGGCAGCCGCAAGGACGTGCGCGGGGCGCCGGGGCTCGCGGAGGCAGCGGGGAGGTCACGGCCCCTCGTCGGAGCTGAAGGCAGCGCTGAGAGGAAGCGGGCGGCAGGGAAGAGCCGCAAGTATCCCGCAAGACCGAAGTCGACTGACAAAAAAAACTGTGGTGCAGTAGGAAAAAAAAAGAAAAAAAGCTCGCAATGGCTGCACGGGGCACAAGCTAGTGGGCAGTGATGTGCCCCTGTTGGGGTGATGGGAGCACTGCAGGGGACCCCTTCTGTGTCCCCCGAGCACCTGTACGGCACGTGGCTCTTGCCTGAAGAAGGCTGCAGCTCCCGAAGAGCCACCACAGGAGCAGGCCCGTGGAGAGAACTCATGCTGGAGCAGGGGGGAGAACTGAGGGAAGAAGGGGCAGCAGAGACAAAGGGTTATGAATTGGCTGTCACCTCCATTCCCCTGCACTGCTTGGGGGAGGGAGGTTGAAGAGTCAGGAGCGTGGCTGGGGAAGTCCATCTTCCCCAAACTAAGTTAGTTTTGCCCATGATGGTAGTGAGCGATCTCCAAATACATATCACAAGCTACCAGCTTTATAACCTTAATTTCTCCCCCTGCACTGCCGAGAAGGGGGAATAGTGCAGTTCAGGGACTGTCTGTATGAAGTCTCTGTCATGGCACTGACTTGTGATGAGTGGACATTTCCCAGGGAACAGGGGCAGAGTTTTGCTGGGATGATAATGCCTGGCTGACATATGGCTGCTGCAACACCCAGAGGCTGTTCCTATAGCATTGCCTTTTGCCTGGGTGCCTCTGGAGCTTCTCGCTGGTGAAGGATTGCAGGCAGGAGCAGACCCAGCCATCCTCACCGGGTGTACCCCAGTGCTCTGCTTGTCCCAGGAATCCTGGGGAGCTCTGTCCCACCTCAGGCTGCCCCACAGCCTCCTATTGTGCCCTGCTGGCAGAGTGAGGTAGGCGGTGGGCACAGGGGAGCCTCCCGACTCCCCTCCGCAAGGCCCTTCCGCAAGGCCCCTCCGCCAGCAGCCATCTGGCGCCGTTGCTTTGGGCCTGGGTCGCCTCAAGGCTCCTCGAGAGCCCAGCTCCAGGGCCCCCGGGGACCCTGCCCTGCCCCACTGCTGTCCCAGCCCCCGCGGGGGCCCTCCGGGCTGCAGAGGCTGCTGCACCCCCCGGTACGACCCCTCCGGGTGTGACCCGCTCCCAGCGTACCCCCACGCGTGGCACCCCTCAGCGCCACGCCGCTCCCGTGAGACCCCCCCGCGAGCTGCGCCCCCGCGCTGGCCGCTCCCAGCGTCTCGGGGGCCGCTCCGCTCCGCCGGGCTGCGCGCATGTGCCGCGCCCGCCCCTCCCCCGAGCGGCGGCCGGGCTGAGCGGCGGCGGGGCGCGATGAAGGACCGGACCGGGGAGCTGCGCGCTGTAAGTGGGGGACACGCGGCAGAACGGGGATCGCCTCGCCCCCGGTACCGAGCGGAGGCGCCGGGGGCGTCCTGGGTTCCCGGGGCCTGCGGAGCGCGGCCGCGATCTCCTCCCCCCTCCCACCCCCCCGGGCTTTGTCTCTGCACCGGCAGGGGGCCCCGGCCCCACCCGCCCCGGGGCGAGCCGGGTGCCGGGGGCGCGGGGCACGGAGCGGTCCCCGCGGGCCGGGCAGTGCGGCCGTTCCCTGAGGGCTCCCGCGGCGCCTCTGTCCGCCGCTGCCGGCTTCCCCTCGTTTCAGGCCTTGGTGCCCGGTGCTCGTTCGAGGTGCTCGTCCAGCGCCCGCCGCCGCCGCACCTGCGGCCCCGCTGCTCGCACACTTTTGGCTGTCGCGGCCGCTGCGGGACGGCATCTTGCCTTGTGGTCCCGCCCCGTGTGCCAGCTGTTCCGGAGGCCGGGTGAGCTCCCGTGGCCAAAAAACGGCTCGCTCCCACCTGGACTGGGTGTAGGCTATGTGGGGTGCTGGGTGCAGGGGCTGTCCCATGGCCGCTGCAGGCGGTGGCCTGTCCTTTCCTCTCGCGTTTTGCTTTTTCATCCCTCTCGCTCTGCTGATGTCATCTGGCCTGGGAAGAGCCTGGAGCTGCGCAGCCGTTCAGGTGTGGCCACGCGGGTGGGTGACATGAGTTGGCACCCTTGTCATGGAATGGGTGCTCGTCCCCCGTGGCAGGGCACTGCAGGATGCTTTGTGAGAGAGGAGGGAATGAGATGGGCGATGCGGCTGTGCCACTGCATGAGGGTGACTTGAAACAGTATCAGAAATACACTAGGAGCTTCAGCAAACATTCACCTGGCAGGTCCTGTGCTCTAAAAATAACCATTCCCAGCTTGGCTGTTTCAGGTTTTGCACTGTGCCATAAACCAAGGGTTTTGCTTGGGCTGGCAGGTCTCGTAGCTCCAGACAAAGATGCATGTTGGGGCTGAGTGTTGTCTGGAGAGACCTAGCTGAGGCCACCTGAAATGGGAGGCTGGCTTTGTCTGGAAGGTGCCAGGAATACAGAGCTCTCCTACTGGTGACGCCAGTGAGGGGAAGAGGGGGTGGCTGTAGATACTTGAGGAGAAAGGGGCTATAAAAAGAAAATCTGCACCCTTCATGCTCAGCCTGGGTGCTTGGAAAGCACCCAAACAAGGGACTCTTTCTCCATGAACAGTGCAGGTTGTGGAAACAGAATTGGAAAATAGGCTTTTTAATAATAATAGTGAAACCCAGCTCTGTAAGTGTCTTCTTGGCAGCCAGTGCTGGCTGAGAAGTGATGCTGTAGAGCATTTTAAAATCTCTCCATTCCTTTAAATATCTTAAACAAAAACAAAAGCCATGCCGCTTTTTGCATTAGGAGATTTTTGCATCTCTCCTGCAGATGATCCTTACTCAGCGGTGGCATGAAGTACCTCCAGCCATAACACTGAAGGGTCTGCAGCCCCTGCATGCAGGAGCTTTTCTGGGGCTGTTTCTGGCACCTGCTGGAGGGGAGGGGAGGGGGACACACTTCCTGTGCCCCTGCACTCAGAGGGGTCCGCGTGGGGCTGCTGGGTACAGTGCTCGGCTCGGCTCGGGGTGTGTATGTGCCCCGGGGCTGAACAGAGGTGTGTGCTGTGGCTGGCCTAGAGCCTGCCTGGGCTGCATGAGCAGGGCAGCACATGAGAAGTTCTCGTACAGAGCTGTGCTGGCAGGAGGGGTGTGTTCCCTTATGGGACGTTGGGGCCCACTTTGTGCTAGTGATCTGGTGCCTGTAGCCAGCCTTGTTAACAGCCTCAGACAATTCCTCCCTGTTTTAATACAACATCTAAATTCTGCCAGGGAGATGATTTAAAAGAAGAAAAAAGCTGTCTTTTTTGGAGTTGAGGAGGGGATGCAGGGCTTTTGCTGCTGTGCAGAACATGAGCTTCCTATCTTAATGGGATTTTTAAAATGATGCTTGACGTTCAACACGCTGATCTGTGTCTTTTCTGAACCTTTGGACCCTGATTGTTTTCAAACTCATTTTAGCATATCTGGTACTTGGAGGTGGCAGCACTCCCAGGCCTGCTTTGAACTGCCTTGGAACAGGGAAACTTACATTTGCAAAGTGTACTCTGCTATGGAGGAGTAACAACCTGCAGGCCTGATTGTGGAAGATGACCAGCAGAGCTCTGTGCTCTTTGTAGGTGGTTCCCACGTGCCATTGAGGCCAACAGGAGCAAACCTGTTTGCCCTGAGCTGGGATTTGGCCCTCTGCTTGACGAGTGCAGATTAACACCTGCCCTGTAGTGTGTTGAAGTCCTGGCATGTGGGGTGTCCTTCGTGGCTGATGGCACAACCCTATCTCCTGCGTACTCCCGACCTGTGCTGTGTCAGCACTGTTCTGCTTTGTTGGGTGTTTTAGGGGCTGCTTGGCAAGCCAGGTCCTCTTGTCGTGTTGTCACCTTGTTGTAGCTGGGATTTGTCCCTGTGTTACTGGGCAGGAAGAAATGCGCCCCGCCTTGCTGCATGAAGAGATTCAACATGACATCTAGGTCAGCCCTAAAGACACTCTGTCCTCCTGCAGGAGGTGTGTCCTCCCAGTGACAGAACAGCGTCTTCTCTGCAGCGGTGTTTGTTGGGGATCCCCGGCTGCTGGAGTGGGGAGCAGCTACCTGTGATGGGGCCAGGCTGCTGCTGCAGGGGATGAGGAGGAGCCTTCAGATACCGCTGATGTGAGCCTGAGCAGTGGTTGTTCAGGGGGATAATGCCAGCAGGCCATGATGGCCTGTCACTGCCGAATAGTACGTCTGTGCTAAATGCACAAAGCTCTGCTGTCAGCAGGGTTCAACATCAGGGGTGCTGTGGGGCCGTGGGACCAGGGCTGGCGTGTGTGTGCAGGGCTTCTAGAGTCACGAGGTGTGGCATCCCCCCAGGGAGCCAATGGGTCTACTAGGGTGTGAGGCTTTGCGATCTCTGGGGTGCAAGACAGGTCCAAATGGTAAAATGAATGTGAGGAGAGCAGGAGGAGGTGAGGGATAGGCCATGAAGGTGGTGTTTGGGAATTCCTGGTCCCTGAGTGCTCCATTTCTTACTGAGTGTGGCTTGCTTCCCCCCTGGTGAAGTGGAGAGATGGCTGCGCAAACCTGGTTGGGTGGGGGTCCCTGTCTCTGGACAAATGCCATGTACTCGGCACTATGTGCAGTTAAGAAATGTGTGTCTAGGTGATTTCAGGAGGACAGGACTCAGCTTTCAGCTTTTCATGCAGACAAGTAGGTTTTCTAATATTTATAGATCTTTGATGACCATGTTAGTTGTCAGTCTCTAACGGGGCTGGGAAGGACCATTTGTCAGTCGACAGATCCTTTCCTTGTTTCCTACCAGAAGGTGCTTGCCTGATGTCTTATTATGCAGTGGCCCGAGAAAGTGGTCCTTGAGATGTTGAAATGGATGCTGCTCAAAGAGCATGTTCAGGTGCTGAGTGGGGAGAGGTTGACAAGGAGACTGCGCTTGTGGGATGTTGTCCAGGCTTGTCACGTTTCCATGCCAGCAGAAGCTTCACCAGCGTGACAAAGACCTTCTTTGGAGCAGCACCAGGAGAGAAGAGCAGCCTGTGTCTGGCTGAACCCTCACCCCAGAGGCAGAGATACGGACCTCATGTACATGGCATTTACCTGCTGGTGGGACTGTGTGTCTGTTTGGAATTGGGTACACATGCAGGGGTTTGTAGGGCCAAAGCCTCAGTGGTTGCTTGTAGCCTACAGCAGTACATGAAGTGAGTGTAAAACTTCTGGTGATCTTCTGATTGAGTCTGAAGACCCTCCTTCCTCAAGTGACATTCATTGAGAACAACCCCGTGGGAGGTAGAAGAGTTGCTCTTTAATGTCTAGTGTTCATTTCCCATCATGCTGCATTTCAGAGCCGAGGCATGTCCCAAACTGAGGCAGTCACTTTCCTGGCGCTGGCTGGCAGCGGAGGCAGTGCAGCCTTCATGCCCAGCCTGCTGGCAGTGGCCGCAGTGGGACTTTGTGTGGCTGGGAATAGCACATCTCTGTGGGCTTCTTCCATGTCAGTGGGAGAGATGTGGGGATGTGGCCCGCTTGTACACGTTTCTGTTCCATAAAACTGGGTTTGCCTTTCTCAGGAGGTGTCCATGCATTTGTATGATAGCATCCTTCCCACAACAGGATGGAAGCACCTCATTCCTGTCAATGTTGCATCCCTATTTCATGTGGCCTCCTGTGTGTGGAAGCTGTGGGGAGGAGTACGTTAAAATAAAAGCAGAAAGCAAGGCCAGCCTCAGGTCTGGCTCTGCAGATCCACACTGTTTTCTCCTGCAGCAGCTAGAATCTGCATCTCAGCCCCCTTGTATGCTTTGACTTGCAACTGGGCCTTGTGCCATCTCTTGTCATTGGTAATACATTGATGCTCCTGTAGATGAATTTTTCTCTTGCAGGTACAATAGTAAAGTCATCTGAAGTTGTTCTTTTTAACAGGAGTTGTGTGCCTTTGTTCTCTGTTTGGACAGGGAGATGTTTCCGTAGCACAGAATTGTCAAACTCCAGTATACAAAACTCACCATTGACCCTGTGAATAGATGTATTTGCTTATTTAAATACTGTCTTCTTTTCCTTAATTTTTAATAACCCTAATAACCCTTTATGTATGTACTTATTTATTTATTTATTTTTACTCCTCTTGGTTGCATACCATGCTTTCAAGCTCTTCTGTTTGACCAGAAGGGTGATGTCAATAATTCAGCTCCACTCTGTCCTTCACCCATGTTGGAGCCGGGCTTGTTGCGTGGAGCACAAGAGCCGTGTGTTCCATGTGACATCTGCAGCAGCCAAAGCTGCACAGGCTGGCTGCAGCTTTGTGGCGCAGCTGGGGAGGCAGGTGGTGGTCCTTTTGTGGGATCTGAAGGGAAGAAAGCTGCTCAGGAAGGGTGTGTACTGACCACCTTTGGGCCATGCCTGGCCCTGCTGTGTCCCCGCGGTGCTGCTGTCTG